ATCTCCTTCCTGAGTGCAAGTTCCACTGCTGAGCTCACCATCAGGTACACAAGGTTTCGATTATTCTTTCCTATCTCCACTGTCTCACCTTTATCTACAACAAAACTAATCTGTGACTCTTCTGTTCATTGGTTTGTTTGACACCCAATTGACTTGCAGCCAAGTTTCATTTCAGAAGCACTTGTAAAGCTGGCAATTTTCCTCACTGACCTCTGTCTCCTTGCTCTTCTGTTTGTTTGGTTTTTTTTCCTGATGCTACTGTTACCTTTCCCCTCTCTGTTGAATGGAAAGTGCTTACTTTCATTTTCCCTTTTCCCCTCCCACTACCTTGATACAGCCTTGTTACAAGCATTCCTGAGCTAAGTTGGTTACTTCACTCTTGGTTGGTTGCTTCCTTCATTTATACCATGCTTATGAGATCATTCATAATAGGCCTGTCCTTCTGGCTATTTACCCTCTTGCATGATTTAAGTACAAAGGTAGGAAAAGACAGTTGCCTTTTATGCCCAAGTTAGGTCTTTGTATTTAAAATCAGTGTAGAGAGTATAACTGTTTTGAAATTAACTTATTTTAGGCAGCTTTCAGCCTTTTTACAAGGACCTTTATAATTTTGTCCTCAGTATAATATGATGCAATGTCGAAGAGAAAATATGCTAATTATGTGAAAAAGACTGCTCAGAAGCCTTTTCACATCTTTGAGTGCCCATTGTGCTTGCATGAAGCTATAGGGAAGAGATACAGACACAACAAAAAGCCATATGAATATTCAAAAACTTTTTGATCTACACAAAATGGAAAAAGAAAAAAAACACCTGGAAATTGCTTAGCCTATAACTTAAAAATATATCTAAGTGCACAGTCCTGTAAACAGCTGTCTGAGATTGTGGGAAATAGGCAGGATGAAGGCCTGGAAAGAACCAGACCTTTGCGGCAAGTTTCGGGTGAAGCAGAGTACTGTGAAACTCATCACAGGGATGAGTTGCCACTTCCAAAGCCTGCCATGTCCCCAGGCGACAGGAGGTAGCCAATCCGATGTTGCGGTTACAGTTTCTGCCTTATAAGGAATGTTTCTATGTTTGTGTTGGCTATAAAATCTGCATCCTTTTAAAAAAATGTCTCAGTTCTTCACCCCCCTGAGTCCATGCCTCTCAAAACGCTACATGAGACAGAGAAAAACTTAAGTGGAAGGCCCATAAAATGCATAGGTACAGAGAATACACACAAATAAAACTACTGTTTTAATGCAGAATAAACTTTAAAGGACATCAGTAAAGGGCCTTCCAGTAGACAAAGATCCAGGTATAAGACCATAAGAAGGCAGAAGTCAGTATAGTCTCAGACCAGAAGAGCCCCCTCTTCTGCCCATGACAATGTCCAGTGCCAGATGTTCGGAGAAGGATATGGAAAGGACAAAGAAGGATCCTTCTCCCAACATACTTTTACCAAGAAAGGACCTGATGATCCTTGAGGTCACTTCCAATCTGGTATTCTACAATCATTCTACAATTCTGTGGTCTTGTCCCATATCCTAGGAACCATCTTTTGAATACTTCCTGAGTGGGAAACCACATATGCACTATTAAGGGCCCATGGTGGACCTCTTTCAAACATGTCTAATCTGTCTATATTTATATTGTGTGTTTCATATGTCTTTCATAACTTAATTGTATGAGAGTTTTAACTTTCTGTATGGTAATTTCTCCTTGGATTTCTGCATCCCAGGGAGGGTTGAGTCACTAAGGACAAGGTCCTTGACAGAATCCCATTTATAGCGTTGCAGATGCAATAAGATGGAGGTCATTTCCAGCTGGGACTAAAGCAAGAAGTAATACATTTATCAAATGCTGAAAATTATATCTATCATTGCCTGGTTGTTCTTGGACCTTTTGTGGTCCGCACAGGTGAAGTGATAATGACTCCTCCTTTAACCTTATTTATGGTTTTGGCTCCTGTCAGTACTTTGTTTTCCCTAGCAAGATACTGTTTGACTGGAACTGCCAAAAAGCCACACTGGAGAAATCAATATCTTTATTTTTTAAAAATAAAAATACATTATTTAGATAAATAATTGTTTCAAAGTTTTACTTTCCTAACAACTAGGCAGCACAAGAGCATTATCCCTGTTTATTCAGTTGGATTCTTCCATGTTTTTCTGAGACTCTTTTAGAAGGCACCAGGACAGAAAATTTTGTTACAGTTCTTACTTGCAACATTTCTTGTAGATTCAAAGCTACTGTATAAAAGAGCACGTTTGTGTTTTCTTGTAGGTCTCACCATACAGCCTGTGAGCTAGGACAGTTCAGGAAGTAAAATGTGATTGTCATTCTTGTTGCTAGGTAGTACAGTAAAATCTGTACATCTGTAGGGGGCATGTCCTGGTCTGGGTTTGCATTGTGAGGCTTTACAGTAATGCAGAGAGTGTTGTCTGAAAACATGCTTAGTCAAGGCAAAAAATAGAACCCTTATAATTGCCATTTTCTAAGAAAGTACTGATAGAATTACAGAGAACAGGAAATCTCGAATATGCTTGAGTGTTAGGTTCTCTGCATGTTTTGTTCCCTGAAATAGGGAACATTTCAAAGAAAAACAGTTCAAAATGGTAATGTTTTAGTTTGCTGATTCTTTGAGCAAAATTTTTCTGACATGCTCTTGGAGTGTTTGTGTCTCAGATGTAAGTCTTGTATTGAGATAAATTGATAATTATCAAGGATTCTTTACTGATTTTGGAAATGAAGTATTTTAAACCTAATTTTCCTATCCAGCTGAGGCACTAGGCAACGAGCTCAGGGCTGAGAATACAATAGGTCTAGATCACTGTGCCATTTTCAGTGGATCTTCTGCAATTCCCAAACTTTCAGGAGTTCAGGGAAGTTTCTGACAGGGTGAGCTAAAGGATAATTTATCACCTGAAATAAAATCCCTGTGCAAAGCTTTATTTAAAGATTGTGTGGTTGGTGACACACATACATATATATGTATATACAAACATAGACACAACATAATATTTCTTGAGTTGTAGAGTTTGAAGTGTTGTGATTGTTTTTAAGATCTCATGTTCACCACAAGTATTCTTAGTAATTGAATTTTCCACCTCAAAGAAGTAGTCCCTATATCCGCATTGGCTCAACTAAATATGAACAAAGATATGAATGAGGGGAGAGAGGAATCTGAGTTGCGATCAGAGAAGATAGGAAATTGGAAAGAGTTCTTAACATGCAGCAGAAGGGTTGTATAGACTGTACAGACTTATTCAAATTGATTGAAACACTGAAACAACCAAAGAGCAACTTCAACATCAGATTTCAGTCTAAATTGCATTGTCTTGTTCTTCTTTTGCAATTCCATTTTCAAGTTTGTGATCAGTAAACCCTTTATTTATTAGAAAATCCTGCTTTCATTCTTAAGCTTGTGTCTTACGTAAACCTCAAGGAACTGGAAGGGCACACAGTTAACTTCTCCTGCTGGAATGGTCTCTGCTGACAACCTCAGAAACAATTTTGGAAATCCTCAGGAACAGAGATGTTTCCCATCCTGCTTCAACAATACCATCGTGAGGCGGCATTACTGGAATTAGTCATAGCACGAAGTCTCCCATTCCACCCTGCTGGCACGAATCCGTTCCAGCAAGAAACAGCTGATAGAGACAATAAAAACTGTTTAAAGGGGAAAACCTGAAACCCTGTTACTTACTGATCCAGACATTACTGAGCCAGTAGATCATCTCCAGGAAAGTGAAAGAAAGGTGATGGGAATCTGAGGGTAGCCAATGACAGGATGAAGCTAGTTCTCCCACTCCTTTTTCAAGTGGAAAAAAAAGAAAGGTAGCAACATGAGGGCAAGACTGCCCAGCTACATCAGCAATTCTGTCTGGTGAATGGAAGTGAGGGAAGCTCCAAAGTGAGAGAAGCCTGCCATGGACAACATGCAATTGGTAGGTGATCAGGTTTGAGTATGGCTCCTCACCTTGGCAGCAGTGGCAACACTAAACTGCCCACACAAGAATGAGGTCAGGCTGACTGAAGGCAGAGTGAGGCTGAAAAGTTGTGGTGTACTTGGTGTGTTTGGACACATCGAAGGACTGAGGAATAGCAACTGGTGCTATGATGCTCCTTCTCTAGCAATAGCTATTGTGCCATGAGGAATTGAGGAATATGGAAACAGGAAGCTTGGTCCTGGTCTCTCCTGGTGTTACCATGAGTGGGCTCCTATCTGCCCTGCCAGTGTCTCACCTCAGGCTGCCAGCTGTTCCTGCTTCCAGGGCTATCCATGTACTCAGATTGGTGCAGTAGCTTTGCTTGAGGTCCAGTATTGAAGACCAAGAATTAAAGAACCTACAAGTATATTCTTTCACATATCGGAAGCCTTCAGTTTCCCTAGCTTGGGCTGCTTTGCAATGCAAAACTGTTTCAACTTACAAGTGCTCCTGACTTACTAAGAAGGCTGCAATGCAGTTATACAAGCTGAGCTTTCCCCCTGCTTCACAAGTCACACGAGTTTTAACCAGAAGAGCCAGAGCCACTGAGACCTCACACACCAAAAGTGGTCTTCAGGTGCTAAACCTGCTCAAACCCAGAGGTGCTGAAACCTGCTACCAGCGCTTGGCAGTCAGCGGGTTCCACCCGTGGCCGTGTCCGAGAAGCGCATCTGAGGCGTGGGGACACGGGGGACGCACGCGGGGGGGGTGGGAGAAGGAAAACATCGTGCCTGCGGCTCGGTGCCAAGTTTCGCTTTTGTGAGAACGGAAAACGAAACGGAGCGGTTCCCCGTGCTCCGGCACAGCGGGGCGGGACGGGACGGGACGGGACGGGACGGGGAGGCTCTCACCGCGCTGTTAAATGCGGAGCGCCGGGCACCTCGCTGCAGACTGCGAGCCGAGCCGGGTCGGATTGAACCGAACCGAGCCCAACCGAAACCGACTCCGGTCGAAGCGTGCCCAGGCGACTCCAAGTGAACCGCAGAGCATCCCGCCGGGTCCAAGCCGAGCCAAGTTGAGCCGAGCCATGCACCTGGACATGCTGGGCCGGCTGTTGTCCATAGGACGGGCGGTGCTGGCGGCGCTGCGGGGGCGGCTGGGCGCGTTGTGCTGGAGCCTGACTCCCCTCTCCCTGTCCCTGTCTCTGTCCCTGCCCTTGCCCGGCTGGCGACGGGACTCACCCCCACGGAGGGAGCGAGAGCAGGAGTGGGACGACGCGTCCCCGACACCCACCAGTGTCAACTACCACTTCACTCGGCAGTGCAACTACAAGTGCGGCTTCTGCTTCCATACTGCCAAGACCTCCTTCGTGCTGCCGCTGGAGGAGGCCAAGCGGGGGCTGGCGATGCTCAAGGAGGCGGGTGAGTCCCGGGGAGGGGGCGCCGGCGGTAACCGGGGAGGGGAGACCCCGCAAGAGCAAATGCCATCGAAAAAATTATCCCGGGAATGTTCCCGTACCTTTTCATGAGGCTGCCGTGGGGCACTGATAGCATGGGGAAGGAGCAGGTGACGGGCAAGAGATGTTCATCATCTTTCTTTGGTCCTTCTCTAGGAATGGAGAAAATAAATTTCTCGGGAGGAGAACCGTTTCTTCAGGACAGAGGCGAATTTGTAGGCAAACTGGTGCAATTTTGCAAGCAGGAGTTGGAGCTCCCAAGTGTCAGTATTGTTAGCAACGGCAGCCTGATCAGAGAGCGGTGGTTCAAGAAGTACGGTAAGGAGGAACTGCTGGGCACAGCAACACTGGCCGGGCTGGGGGGCCTTTGTGGAGCAGCCTCACCCACAGACGGATTTGGGAGCAAGTGGGAGATGTTTTTTTAGTGGTTTTACAAACCAAATGTAAATACCAGTGAGATTGTGTTGATTATATTTTGTGAACATAGGCATTATACCAAAGGCCTCTTTGGTATAATGATGTAACAAAACAACAGCTCAGCCTGTCTCCATAACGCTGGGGACAGACATGCTCAAGTTATGTGTTTTGACACTGCTGATGCTGTGGCTTTTGCGGTTGATGGGATGACTCCACAGAACTATATTTACATGGCACTTCATGACAGATGATAAGGAAGTGAAAGTGGGCGTATTTCTGACAGCTTTTAGCTAAGGGACTGGATATTAATCAATTTTTAAAACTTGTTCTCAGGTGAATATTTAGACATTCTGGCAATTTCATGTGATAGTTTTGATGAGGATGTCAACATTTTAATTGGCCGTGGTCAAGGAAAGAAGAACCACGTGGAAAATCTGCATAAACTGAGACAGTGGTGCCGAGAGTATGCTGTTGCTTTCAAAATAAATTCGGTGATCAACAGATTTAATGTTGAGGAAGATATGAATGAGCAGATCAAGGCACTCAACCCTGTGCGCTGGAAGGTAGGAAAGTAGTGTATACCATAGGTTTCTTGTTCAAAGAAAAGTAATAATGAGGTTTTGGAGTCGTCTGAATGTCTAATGACCTCAGCTGGATCTCCAGCTCAGGCTGGTGTTACGGGCCTTCTTGTCAACGTTGCATGGTGTTGAGATGGGTTCTGTCTCATTCTTCACTTAAATGGAGCCCAGTATATCAAGAATCTTTTTTTATTGTGATACATACAGAAAATTACTATTTCAGTGTATGTAGATATGGGTTATTTTATTATATTAAAATTAATATAGAAAGTCTTTAAGATTTGGAAATGTGTCACGTGTAGAGAAAATGAAAAAGCAGTATACAATGATACATTAGAGTCAATAGAGTGTTAGCAAGATATGTGTACAATAATGTTCTGTTATAGACTATTAACAATTAATGTACATATATTATATTTTTTATTAGAATGCATTAAATACATTATGTTATCAGTTTGCAAATGGGTAGAGGTAATGTGGCATAAATATGAGAGAACTTGTGGAATAATTTCTCATTATTTGCTTAATGGAAATAGTTATACACACAGAATTTCTCAGAAAAAACCCCAAACCAAACACTCTAAGTGAAATCTTGGTCCTACTAAAGGATAGTAATGAAAATGATAATTTAGAAAATTTAGAACTCTGTAATGGTTAAGTTGCTAAAAATAAATCTGCACCATGCTCTTTGTATAGTATTCAGTTATCACAATTTGTGTCAGTGTAGCCCCACTGACAGAAAAATTAAGATAATGCTACTGAGACAACTAAAGGTTTTTGTCATGGGGACAGTCTCTTAACCTCAAGGCAAGTGAAAATGTAAAATCTTAACTAGGTGCCTTCTGTTTTCAGGTATTCCAGTGCCTGCTCATTGAAGGGGAGAACAGTGGTGAGGATGCCTTGAGAGAAGCAGAAAAATTTGTTATTAGTGATGAAGACTTTGAACGATTCCTGGATCGCCACAAAGATGTCTCCTGTTTGGTACCTGAATCTAATCAGAAGGTAAAAATTAAACTGTCCTTCTGTAACTTTATTTTCAAATAACGTTGGAAAATTGGAAAGGAACTAGAAACTTTCATGGCAATTAGTACTTTCCCTACAAGTAGTGGCTTAGAAGAGGTACAGTACAACTTTATCAGCAACCAGTTTTGTTATGGTAGAAGCCAAGCTTTTTAATTTTCTTTAAGGTTTTTTATTGACCATGAAGTTATTAGCAGAAAACTAAAAACCCATTGATCCCAATCCTGTGGAAACCAGCGGGAGTACAGCACAATATCCTGAAAAAGTTCAAAGTTAATAAAAACACACTTTATACTCTAAGCATAGTTTCCTAATAGAGATTCTCCAGCTTAAATGATCACAACATTTGTTTTGAAAATGGCATAATCATTCCAGCATGCAAAACTGTAAGTTCTACTGCTGTAAAAATTAATAGAAAACTTGGATATTATTTAAACCACCTTTATCCAGTTGGGCACCCACATTTCAATTAGACACTGGAGAGGTCATATTTCAAGAATTACTAGTTTATTCATACATAAAGTTATTCTAGTAATTCTATCATTTATTTCTATAAATTTGATCCAAGCTCACTAAATAGTGGTGATACAGTAACTGTTTCAAAGATTTGTATCTGACTGAATAGTTGTTTGCTTTGTCTTTCATTTTTCACTAAAATGGAATTTTAATTTGTATATTAATTTCATTTTTTTCTTTTGATCTATTACAGATGAGAGATTCATACCTCATTCTGGATGAATATGTAAGTCTTTGTTTCATACTTAGTATTTGTATGCTAATATATGTATGTATCAGCAGTGATAACCAATTCGATTTACTATGCATTCTATAAAACAATTTTACCATATAGTACAAGGAATGGATGTGATTTATTCCCATCAGACATAGTAAGAACTTTAATATAGTATAAGCTGAGGAGAACTTGCAATCAGGTTGCAGGCATAATGATTACATCACAAATTTAAAGTGTAGATGTCTATTTCTGGAGGACATCTTCGCTTTTTTTCTTTAATTTAAAAATACAGAACTTGCCCTGAAAGTTAAGTTTCAAAGTGCCTACTTAGTTTGTGTGTAATTGAAGAGCCAGTCTTCAGGAATTATGGTATAGCTTTGTTCCTGCTAAGGTGTCTAATCATGAGCTTCTGAGCTTCCTAAGGACTAGAGTGAAACTCTTCATGCACTTATATAGGCTTTTGTGGGATTGCAGTGCAGCTTGTTTAATTCTGTGGGAAGTTAAGTTTTTGCAAATTGACTTTTTAATGTCTTATCTATTGATGTTCCAGATGCGTTTTCTAAACTGTAGAAATGGACGGAAAGAGCCTTCTAAGTCTATCCTGGATGTTGGTGTGGAAGCAGCTATAAAATTCAGTGGATTTGATGAGAAGATGTTCCTAACAAGAGGAGGAAAGTATGTGTGGAGTAAAGCTGACATGAAACTAGACTGGTAACTCAATATACTGAGTTAGGGCAGTGCATCATGTAAAGAAAATATGTGTGCATATGATGAGTGTATACCTGTATTTAATGCTTTTAATTACACTTGGTATATTATACAGACTGATGTTCAGTATAAATCTATATGGGAATGTGTTTTTTAAATGCAGATTATGTACTTTTATTTTATTGAGCATAACTTAATACTTTCAGAGCTTTCATATGAGCAGATGTCTGAAATAAACTTTCTAATCCATTTTATGAAGGACTTAAGGGCAAACTGTTAACATAACGTCATGTAGTAAATGTTTTTAAAATACTACATGAGTGTGCATGCCAGATAAATCAAACTCCACCCCAATCTCTACTTCATTATAAACAGCTGTAAGGATGGAGAAGTGAAAACTCTTATCGGGGAATGCATTCTGCCTGTTTCTCAGGGAAAGGTGGATTGTAGTTCCTCTGTAGATCAGAAGAGGGCCAGCTGGCAGGCCACTGGAAGCACCATCTGCCTTTTTCGGGGGTAACAGAGGGTCAGAATCTAGGAATCATTATCTGTAATAATGTATTTAAAAGACAATCAAGATGAAAAACTTGGCCATTTTCATTTTTTAAGACTTAACTGTAAAAGTATCTGGTTTTATTCTCCCTCTCCTCCATATGCACAGAAAACATTTGCAAAAATGTTGGGGGATGTAAATTTCTGCAAAAACATATTTTTAGTCATGAAAGAATATTGTATTTGTCCGTCCTAAAACCTAGAAGTACGTTCTACCTAATGATAAACAACTTCTTATTTCACATTGGCAATGGCCTTAGTTCTAACTAATATTTACAGTGAGAATGTTTGCATTTTATTAATTCCTCCATTTTCCTTTTATCTGCAAATATTGATTTATTATTTTCAGCTTTCTTTCTCTCTGCATGCATACAGTTCTGATGAAGATTCCTTCTCAATTAATACAACGTAGCACAACCTAACATGAATCTTCTGTTGTATAGTGGCTTTTTATTTTGCTAAGCCATGGAATTACAAACAGAAAAGTTAATGTATCATGTAACCTTGCTTTAGAGGTTGCTTGGTTTAGTAATTAATTATCTTGCTGGTTGCAAACCTGCAGATATTAAATGAAATTAATTGGATTTTTTGATAGCTGCCTTTGATTAAGAGCTTGCAGCATCAATATAAAATAAAGAAAAAAATGAAAAAAAACCCAAAAATAATCAAGTACACTACCCTCATTCTTGGGTTTCTGGCAATTGTTATGGCTTTGTAATTGCAGCTTTTCAAATTTAACCAGTCCCATCCTCCTCCTGTTTGAAGGGAATAGGGATAAGCATTGCAGAGAGCAGAAGTGAGCTGGCACTACTCATTCATCCTGTCCGTTGAATGTCTGGACTGTCTCACACTTCTAAATATTTGCAGCAGTTGGGAGTCAGCATGCATTAAATGTATCACATACAGAAAACGACACCTTTTTTTTGAAGAGGTTTTTGAGAGAAATATTTTACATTCACCTACTGCATCTTCAAAGTTGAAGGGAAAAGCGCTTGAGTAGGAGCTGCTACTTCTGTGCACCTCCAAATACACTGTAAAAATGTTTCCATTTATAATTCCTTCAGTTTCTATTTTTACTATCCTGACTGTAAGTATACTCAGTGGTGCTCTTTTGTCTCTATGTATTTTGCATTTTGCAATCACAACACTTCCTAGAAACATTTTAGTCTTTTTTTTCCCCTTGTACTAATACTAAGTGGCATTTAAAATGTGACCCACACACATTAACCCCACAGTCTTTTGGCAGCTGTTTCACTGACCTCAGTTGGAGTTCTGCCTGAGTAGTAACTACGGACAGTGCAAATTTATGTAACTGGGGTTTGACTTCCTCTGCTTTCCCACTGCTCAAATGTTAAATTCAGCCTCTTCCTCAGCACCTACGCTGCATGATAGAAAAGGAGCATTTTCCTTTGCTGCTGGCTCAGTCCCAGCATGGGGAAAGATTTAGTGCATCAATGTACCAGTAAATCTACCAGCTTGCAGCTTCTGCAGGAAATGCCAGCTGTAGCACAGCACGCAGATGCGTGGTACACAAACTTCCCTTCAGACCCCAAAATTCTGCCAGTCTTTGCTTTGCATCTTACCCTGTAAATGGTTATTCCTTTGCTTCCTTTGTGCCTACAGAGGAAGATGCAGGAGAAACAAAATGGAGCTGAAAATGTCAAAATCCAGTAAATCATGTAAAGACATTGAAGACAGCTTTTATCAGAAGGTTCTAAGTTCTTATCTTCTTAAAAAGGTTAAGGATTTTACATCACTTTTGCTACCACATATAATTAAGAAAAAGGTTTCTGCTCTGTGTGATACTCTTTTTCAAAGGAAATACCAGTTGTGTACATTGGAAATGAAGAATCCGACATTACACAGTTCAAACAAAAGTCATTTAAGTTGATGAATAACTCTTGGTATTTTTATATGCAAAATTCACTGTTGTGTAAAACGTTGTTTTTTTCCTACAGCTTGATTAATCTAGTTTTTTGGGGGGAGATTTAGTTTATAAACACAGTTCATATTGGACCAAAATAGACTTTAGGCTTTCATTATGTAGTTAGGCCTAAATTTCAGCACAGGACTAGAAAAACAAAACTGAATTCAGTAGGGCTACTCCCAGGCTTAGCAATTATAGGCACATCTTAACCCTGAAGAGTCAGGATTTAAATCTTTCAAGTCTTGTAAACAGATATGCTCAATTGTATTTTCATGTGTAATCTCATAGTATTGCAGCTAAGGACTTGCTTAAGATGCTGAATTGGGAAGGAACTGACAGTGTAGTCTAGTAGTGTACCAGCATTACAGAGCTGTTCCTATTTGTAAAATATTTGTAGAGAATGAGTGTTTGGGGAACTAACATCTGATAAAGTTATGACTATACCTTGGGTAATGAGTAAAATTGTCACTTAAGATGCACTTTAGGATGCCCTCTTTTTCAGTGAGAAGGATGCTGTTATCTTTGAATGTTACAAAAGATGAATTTTGTAATAATGCTGTCAAATATTTAGCACTAAGTATTTCACATGAGTATGTTGCACATTTCAATAAAAGTTTCTATTTTCTTAAGTTTGGTTGTTGTTTTTTTTTGTTTATTTGTTTGCTTTTTTTGTGTAATGTAACCCATACTCGAAGAATGTATGTCTGCATTCACAAGAGATCTGTAATTCAGGATGTAGTCCATATTTAGCAGGGGGCCGCTTGCACAGTGCCAAGGACAGCATCTAGGCTGAAATGGAGGACAATAGTGGTGATTTTCCTTGTGATGAAAGGCGTTTGTTACAAGCCTGAGTGGACTGAGCTGTGCTGGGAAGAAGACAGTTCAAATACCTTGTGCTGTTTGGATGACAGCCGCTAGGAAAGACACAGCCAGCCATAAATATCTGAGGACAAAAAAAGATTATCTTCTGTCATGGTAAATAAAAGAGAAAAGCCAGTCTATTTATTAGACCGAAAATAAGCAGCTTCTCAAGCTCATCTCCCCTCTTGAGGCTCTGTGCAAACCCTGGTACCAGACAACGTGAACTCGAGCTTTTCACAGTATTTTGGCTGAGTTTGAGGGGAGGCTTAGTCTTTTATCCCTCCGTTTGCCTTTTTTTTTTTTGTTCCCTGCATAATGAGGTGGGGTGAGGGTGCCCAGGAGCAGCACCGCAGCGAGATGCTGTGTGTGTCACCCCCCGGGGCTGCTGTGCTCTATATGTGTGTGTCTTACCTGGGGCTGCTGTGTTTTGTGTGTGTGTCACCCCCGAGGCCGCTGTGCTGCGTGTGTGTGACCCCCGGGTTTGCTGCCGGACTGTCACCCCCGCCGCGACCGGGCGAGGGCTGAGCTGCGCCGCGGTGAATCCACCAGGCATCTCCCGTTCGCCTCCCAGCTCCGTGCGGCTCCCACCGTGCCTGTCGGAGGAGCACCGGCCCTTGATCCGCTCATGCACCAACAACAGGGAAGGACAGACAGCGCTAGCAGCACACCCCTGCCCGTCATGGTTCCCATGCTTTTCCCTCCTCCCTTCCCCGGCAGGCAGGACAAACCCCCCGCCCCCTCTGCACCACCAGCCGCCGTTGCTCTCTCCGGCCGCCGAAGGACCTGCTGGGCCGGGGCCGTCACGCTCGGGCAACCCAAGGTAATATTCCTTACAACAGCTAAAAACCCCCCAGTAAAAC